TTTTTTTTCAGACCAGTTCTTTTGAAGGATCAGACCTGCTGTTTAGCTGGAATAGTTCGTTAGAACAAACAGATTTGTTCCAACGAAGGTCGTCAATATACGAGAACGGCAATGGTGATTGTATGCGAATGATTTGTGCAACTGAGCTCAAAGAACCTGAACTGTTGTCAAAATGGCATGTTATTTACACATAAATTTTTTCACTCTATTTTTTTCAGTTTTGAACTTTTATAGCAACAATATTTTTATTGCTGTCGTTATTCTTATCATCAATTTTTGCTTTTGAATCTTTTGATAATGTATCTTGTGTAACACAGAAAATTTTATATTTTATTAATGATTATTATTTGATCTTTTTATTATTGGTTCAATTATTATTTTTCCTGGTATCTGTGTTGATCTTCCCAATTTTCTCGTCGACTGTTTTCAACAAATGGTGATCACTAGTATGCAACAATCTATATCTTTGGGATCGATCTTGAACAAGGAAAAACTTTTAACTAGTTTAATAGCTTACCACTGCGTTATCTAGTCTGTTGTTAGGAAGTTTCATTCAAGAAACTTAATTGTAGTCTTTTGCTCAGGGTTGCTCCATCTAAAAGTTAAAACCTGAGAATTTAGTGGTCTAAAACCGCTACTTGTTTTATACTTCAGGATACCTGTTATAGTCCTGTTCGAATTACTCTTAATTTTGAAAAATATTTGGGGAAGGGATAAAAAATTTTCTGTGTAATCGCATTAATAGAAATGTGAATCTTTGTCATCGTCTCCTGCGTTAGTCTTTTTTCTTCAATGAAAGTATTTGAACTAACGTTCAATACTGTGAACCGAAGCGAAATATGGTTAACAAACGTGAGGAAGGTTTTGGAATTTAGGGGCAGCGGAGCAGCAACCCCTAAGATACGTTCCAAAAAATATAAATGGCGTAGATCTTTTCGCTGTAGCGGCAACTATGAACTTGGTTGTGGTAGCGACAACAACTGTTTCCGTAAGGTACAACGAAAATTGAAAGGTTTTGTAAAAGGATATCAACAAGTATGTATTAGGAAACTTCATCTAATTATACAACGATTATTGTATACGTTCATTGTTACTTTCCAGATATATTTGTTGCTTTATTACATTTTTTTGAATTGACCAGAAAAAGGTATCTTTGCAGGTAGAAGATAGCAGCAACAAATATTTGGGGTCGTACGTAACGCGACCATGTGAAGGCACATCTGCGGTCATCTGTGACCTCCAAAATTGTTCAGTGCAAACTCAAGAGTTTCTTCCGGGATCATTGCATGTAGTAAGCATATACAACTGCGTTGTAAACAAAAGGGAACCTGAATTAATTTGAACAGTTAAAGTCATTGGTACAAACAGTAATCTTTTATTTTTTGCCTAAATAATCATTAGTTGATACCACTGTTTTAAGGACTATTCGCTAGAGACGGTCGAGAAACCGCAGGTCCAATCAGGCGCTTTTAGAAGCATAAACTCGCAAGAATTAGCAAGAGTTATGGACTCAACAAAAATAGAGAGTTTCAGTAAACAATTCATTATTGTTGACTGTCGTTATCCGTATGAATACAATGGTGGTCATATTAAGGCAAGTAGTTTCAGCTGGAAAACTCAGCGACTTAGTAGCGGTGAATAAACCCCTTTGTTTGAATGTAAAGATTGTTACTTTTCGCTCATAATGACTATAAATTTGCCAAATGGTTGTTTGTTATACTCGCCAATTATTGCTTAATCAAGCTAGAATTTTTTGCTTTTAGGGAGCAATCAACATATGTGATTGGGAATCTCTAAAAGCGACTTTTTATCCTGAGTGTCCTGTGGGATTTAAAGCTATATCGTCCAAAATTCCAATTTTTTATTGCGAATTCTCACAGAAGCGAGGACCGCAATTGTAAGGACTGTATTTTTAAGTCTGTAACCTCAGAAAATCCCGGAACAAACAGTTGGTTATAGTCAAAACCAGATTTGCCGTCTGTTTTCCCCTTCTTTTCTTACTAGCGTCTTGCAGTCACAGTATCATGTTGGTTTTAGAGCTGAAGCTTTACGAAAGTATGACAGGAAACGTAATGAATGGCGTTATCCTGATGTCGATTACAAAGAAATTTATGTGCTTGATCGTGGTTACAAGAACTTTTTTGAGGAAGGATATACGGTACAGTTCATCTATTAATGAGCATCAAACCATGTCCAGTTAAAGAAATTCAGTCAATGGTCAAAGGCTTCATCATTTCGTTACTTTTTTCTGGCTGAGCAGTAGAAGGTAATTTGGAGAAGATAAAAAATCTGGTTTAGCATCTGTGTGAACCGCCGTCATATGTCACAATGTTAGAAGTCTCGCACAGGGAGGATTTGAAGAGATTCAGCATGCATCGCTCGAGATCCGCTGTGGAGCTGAACGAGGCAATTAATCAGACCTTCCGTGGTTTTTGTGAAAAGAATGTCAAAACGCGACAGAATACCTGTGCAGTCAATTCTCCAACACAGCTTTTGCGAAACCCGGATCTGCTTTGGTTATCCAGTGACCTGACAATAGCGCCAAGACTGGTGAAAACATTAAGATTCTCAGAATCTCCAGAATCACCGAAGCATCGTAAAAGTGTTTATTAAATAAACACTGTTTTATTTTGATAAAACTTGTTATAAGTTTGGTATATTTTTTAATATTTATTTGCCAAGTAAATTTCTTTTGGGAGGAAAAACGTCGATTATGAAACATCTGACCGGACAATTCATAGGGTGGGCTGTTCCTTAAGAGTGAAACCTAAGTTTGGGTGAAAGTATTAATGAAAAAATCAACGTTTTTCTTCACACGGTAATAGCGCGTAATATCGGTTTTGTGTAAATTTCAGAATGTTATCTGTAAATGGATATACACTTGAAATATGATTGGTAATGATCTTTCTACTTGCCAAGAGCAACATCTGATTAGGCCTTCGTCTAGTAACGACACTTTCGCTGTTAAATAATTTTTTGAAAAAAGCTAAGGTGTGATCTTTGTTGCACATCTGGTGGAAGTTTTGCAGTACGACAATCATGTGTTGGGACCACATGACTAACAACCAGGATTTGTTGTCTCCGAGGTCTGTTGTGCGAGAGGTGTCAGGCGCGTGTGGAAACATGTATTCGCCGTGATACTAATAACTGCAAAATATGAGTGGCATTTCCCGATGTAAATATCATTAGTACTTTTGGTATATAGGTTGGCAAATTTGCTTTAAATCAATTTATTGAGGACTATGGGTACTGCAGTGCTAAGACTAGTCATTACACCTTCTGTACGTTTTTTTAATGGCACGCCTGCTCTAAAGTTTGTAAATAAATTTTCAGTACCCATTTGCTTAATGACGGCAGAACCAACGTCGCGTACCTCATGTATACGGACGTGTGCCTTAACTGCGATGAGTCCAAGCTACAATTAAGCACGTCTCCTTCTTCACTCCATGGGTTCCTTTGCTCGTCTTAGTTACAGCATTGACTAAAAACAAGAAAATCCCGCACTTTATAACAGTCTCTACTCAAGCATGAAAAATTGCACTCGGGTACAAAAGATTAGTAAAAACCACATGAATTTGACAAGTTTCTGAGTAGCACTCTCACTCTTTTCCCCAGTCCAGTCAAAAGAGCGAATGGGTGCAAAATAATTCCAAATACTTGCACCAAAAACAGCAAAAACCATACAGTTACTTCAAAAAATGCACAACGGAAATTTGTACAATTCACAAGAAAGGGACGTAGTTAATGCTAATAAATTTGACTGCTTCTTTACGGCTAACCTCAAAATTGTAAATAAAAAAAAAAATCCCTGAACTGCGGTGTACCTTCCACTCATCTCACTCAAAAGCTTCTTCATGATTTAAAAATTTGCACCACATTCACAAACGCAAGACGGAAGCTTGATCGGAAGTCCAAATCACGGTACAAAAATAATCAGGTTAACATTCGACAAAAAACTGCAGGTTACTCCCAGTTTGTTAGTACACCAAATGAAGATAAATACACAATGTCCCATCAGCAATCTGACAACATTTTGAAACAATTATTTAGAAATATATTTCTTGGTGTTTTGACGGAGAATTAACTGGGACTTGTAAATTGCAGACGCCCGGGAAGTTTCTTTTTAGGAGTACATGGTTCTCCGTCCGAAGTTACTGACGAAGAACGCTGTTTCGACGGGAAACGGGATGGAGATTGGAGAGATTTCCTGAGTAGCTTTCGAGCCCTTCTTAGAGAAATATCAAAACGATCTCTACTTGTAAGGAGGACTCTAGAACAAATTTTTGGCTTATGTACATGATACTTAGCAAGGGACTTTCGGAAACGTTTTGCATACATCCGCACATATCCTGGAGGATCGCATAGGTCCTAAAATTATAGTCCTACGCAAACGCTTGAAAGCCTATTGAAGGACGTAAAAATGAAGCTTTTTCCTCC